AAGCAACCAATTTTCTGTTTCTCCCATCATTTCTCCCCCAAACTAGATTTGTTCATCCAATCCACTGGAACGTGATGCGACCCATATTTACCCTGTGGATTGGTCCTGATCTGAGAGCAGCTCAGTCCAGCTCAGCCTTGTGGGTTTTATACAGTACCGCAAGCTGGCCAGCAGAGGGGGGTCGAACTCCCTAGAGTGGATGTTTCCTGCCGAGTCTCCCAACTACCTGCCTGCCCTAAAAAATCTCTAGGAAAGAATGGAAGGCATTACTTCATAAATCAAAACTCCTAGTGCTATTTTCATCCAAAACAGAATCCGTATTTGGAAGCCAATAAAGTTGAGCAGCATTTTGGGGCCATATTCTGGTGGTTTGGTTTCCCCATTTTATGTCTGTGGGGAAGATGGGAGGAAGGACAGAGGACAGCAACATCACAGAGCTGCATCAGAAACATAAACCTGAGGTCTCTACTCACGTAAAAATGGAGGAAAAGGGAAACAAATGCTGTCTAGGCTCTTAAGTTTATTCGGAAGCAGGAGTCAGATTTTCTGTTACAGATAGTTGCTGACAAATCCAATGCTGGCAATACGGTGGGATGCCACAGAGGAAGGTGGTGTATCTGGGAAGGGCTACATCTGCTTTCAGATTCTCTTCCAACACCGGGGGCACACCCAATGTTCTAATTCCCTCCTCTCTCATAGCCACAGAAATCGATCCTCTGGCCCTAAGTGTGTGAGTACCAGGTGGATGGTAGAAAGGGGACTTGAGCACATTTTCTTGGGGGAGCTGCTGAGAAGCAGGTGCCCTCACCTGGACGGGGGCATATATCCCTACTCCAGGTTGCCTTTTCTTCTTTTTGCAGACAGACTCCATGAAGTTTTCGAGGCAGGTTCATTTTTATTTCACCCCAAACACTATTAGCTTTTTATCTGTCTACATCCCAGTCTGAATTATAGGATATAAGAACGACCCCAGTCCACCTCTCCATAATGTCCCCCAGCAGCTACAGGTGGTGTGGAGAGGTACTGCATGAAATTCCACAATTAGAGCCTCATCTCTCTGCTTAGGATTTTGACCTTAATTAAATGCAAATACTCCTTTAAGACCATTTTAAATACATGAAATTTTTAAGGGCAAGAGGAATCTAAGGGACTCAAAGCACTTGGAAAGTTAAGCAGACTATTCCATGCTTTTGCCTTTGGCCAATCTGTTCATTTACCCTACGAATGTTCATGAGCCTTTCCACACATCAGCCTCCAGCAGTGAGCAAGATTAGATCAGGCTTTTGCTTTTCCAGACTCAGGGACGGTGAGGAGGGTGTGGGGAACAGAAAATGAAAATCCCCAAGTAAACCAACAGTGAGCAAGTTAACTCTGGGTGGGAAGAAACACTTTGAAGAAAATGGGATGTGACAGAAAGTGACTAAAAAGGCAGGGCTGATGATGGAAGGATCTGGGGAAAGGGATCCAAGCAGAAGGAGGGGGAGAGAGGAGAGCCAATGTGGTCAGAGGATGGTGGGGAAGGAAGGGGAGGAGGGGGTGGTGGGAGCTGAGACTGGAGAGAAAGGAGTGGGTGTGTGCGTGCACGCATGCAGACCTACGCACATATAGGCAGGGGTGTGTGCCTACAGCCATGTGTAGGCTTGTGTGTTCACATAGGTGTGCATGTGCGTGCGCGTGTGTGAACATATGGGGTGGGTGGGCAGCGCATACCACACAGGGCCTTGTGGGCATTGTCAGGAGGCAGGCTTTTGTACTGGGAAAGATGGAAGTTGTAGGGGGGGCCTTCTGTGATATACAGCATGACTTTCTTTTTTTAAATTCTAGTAAAATATACATAACAAAATGTACCCCTTTAACCATTTCTAAGCATACAATTCAGTGACATTAAGCACATTCACAGTGTTGTGCAACCATTATCATTATATATTTCCAGAACTTTTTTCATCTTCCCAAACTGAAACCATGTGTCCATTAAACACCAACTCCCATTCCCCAACCCCCCAGCCCCTGGTATCACCATTCTACTTTTTGTCTCTATGAGTCTGACTGCTCTAGGTACCCCACAAGTGGGGTCATACAGTATTTGTCCTTTCGTGTCTGGCTTCTTACACTGAGCATAATATCTTCAAGGTTCATCCATATTGTAGCATGATGAATTATGTTTTAAAAGGGTCCCTCTGGCTACTGCCTTGAGGATAGACCATAGCGGAATACGAGTGGAAGGAGAGAGGCCAGAGGGGCCATGGTCCTGATCCAGGTGAGAGACGTTGGGAGGGGGGACACCAGGGAGCTCCTGGCATTGTTTGTCCGATGGCACAAAGGGGAAGGTGAGACGTTCCCTGAGATATCCTGTGCCCTCGGGCCCCAGCTCTGCCAAGGCCTTTCTAGGGTCGAGCTCACGGGGCCACCTGGGTTACCTTTATAAAATTCACTTTGCAGTGGCAGGAGTCATCATTCAGGTTCTTGATGACAATCTCTCCGTAGTGCTCAATCCATCTCTGCCCACTTAAGATGTTATGGATGCAAGAGGTCACTTTGTTCCACTCAAAATGATCTCCGAAGCTGAAAAGGAGGAAACAGTGACATTAACAATTCCCAGAAGAGCCAGCAGCAAATGCAAACAAATATAGCTATTTAAAAAAAATAAGTCACAGGATGAATTACTCATTTCTTCATTTATGGAACCAACACTGACTGAGGGCCGAAGCCGTGCTGGGCCTCGTGAGCTTCCGCTCTCTGAGGAGACACGAAGGCACAGCGGGCCACAGCAGGCCACAGCGGGCAGGGTCGGGCACTCTGGAAGCTGCCAGGGATTTCACTAGAAGCTGGCGATCTCCTGGAAAAACCCATTCTCTCTTTTGACAGAGGAGAAAACTGAGAACCAGAGGTGATTTGTCTAAGTTATCAGACTAGAAAAGGGAAGAGGCAATGGGGAAGGTGTGGTGATCTCACAATCTGCTCTCTCTCTACACACACACATACATGAATACACACATCTATATGTGTACATATGTATACACGTGTGTGTGTATGTATATATATGCAGAGACACATATCTATCATATATAAATCTTAAGATACACATGTCTTGGGGCGCCTGGGTGGCTCAGTCGTTAAGCGTCTGCCTTCGGTTCAGGTCATGATCCCAGGGTCCTGGGATCGAGCCCTGCATCGGGCTCCCTGCTTGGCGGGAAGCCTGCTTCTCCCTCTCCCACTCCCCCTGCTTGTGTTCCCTCTCTTGCTGTCTCCTTCTCTGTCAAATCAATAAATAAAATCTTAAAAAAAAAAAAAAGATACATGTCTTAAACCTTTTTATGATGAGTTAAGTATTCAGGTACTACTTACAGAGTCCTATAACAGTTATGAGGATAATGGTAATAAGACCAAACACTTAACATGGCGTAGGCTCTGGGCCAAGTACTTTTCAGTGCTTTACATATATTACCTGTTTAATCTTCACAACAGTCCTGCAGAGTAGGTGGTTTATTATTCTCATTTTATAGGTGAGGGAACTAGTGATCAGGAAGGTTAAGTAACCTGCCCAAGGATTTGCAGTTAGTAAGTGAGCACCTGAGTCCTGTTGGCCCCACCCTAGAAGCCACCCTCGAAGCCATTTTGCTTTATAAATGAGGATCAATAAACCCTGTAGGATCAAGATCATATTTTTCTTAAAAGGAATTTTGACAGTGAGGTAGGACAACAATGTTAAAGCAAAACTACCATTCCTGATTTTGTTAGAAAGTGAAAATGAGTTTTTAAAAAGCTTCTGTTCAGGGAACTTTGGTTTCCAGGTAGCATTCCCATTTGAAGGAAAGAAAATGTGAGCTTGTCAAAATGAGCTACATTTGAACTTACTGTCAAACCAATTAAAAGGAAAAAAAAAACAACCATATACTCAGCACCATGGGGTATAATGGGAATCCCATTCCTAAAGCTGTATCTTGGCCCTAAGTTCTGTACAGTTCCCAACCACAGAAGAACTTACGCTGGCAGAGTCACATGGGTTGTGCCAATGGGAACAATTTCCATGGATTTGCCCCAGAATTTGTTTTTCCATCTCACATCTGAAATGAAATACCAATTAGCACATATTTAGCAGGAGAGCTACACAGATCAAAGAATTCTTAGGCTGGATAAATAATTCCTATATAGAACAATCTCTTCATAATAAAATCCATTACATTATAGGATAACTTTTCATTCAATCTAAGTACCAACTGAGTATCTGGAACAGAATCGGAAAATTAAAATTGTAAGATAAAGTCCCTCTCTTGGGACTCATGGTATGAAAGGCAGACAAAAGTGAAAACAAGTAATGCTCAAACAGAGAGGCACGGGTTATAACTGAGTATATTGTAAGATGAAATGGAGCCAGAGAAGCAGGAATGACCAACACTCTTGGGAAAGCATTAGAAGAGGCCACTTAGATCAGGCTTTGAAGAATAAGCAGGAGTTCACCAGGCAGAGAAAAAGGGATAGAAGGCATAAGACAGCTTGTTCAAAGGGAGAGAGGTATAAGAGAACAGAGTGTGCTTCTGTCCTATGGGTCTTGAATTGTTTAGAGAGAAGAGCAGAGAGACAGATTGAGTACAAAAACAGTGGGCTCTAGGAGCCAGGCAAAGAAGTTTGGTACATATGCGCTGGGGGGAAATAAGATGTTTGTTTAGAGAGAAAACACATGTGATTAGATACAGACTTTGCAAAGACAATTGGGAGTAATACAGAAAATGGACCAGGAGCACAAGAGATGAGAAGCAAGGTGACAAGTTACAAGGCTGCTGTAACTGATCAAGAGATAAGTGAGGATGAAGTGAACTAAGACAGTAGTGGATAGAGTAGAAGGGAATGATTCCAGAACCATGAAAGAAGTAGAAATAGAACTAGTTGGCAAATTAGATGCAGATTCTGAAAGACAGGGAGAATTTGTAGATGATTTCATATTTTTCTCACTTGCATAAATGGTGGCACCAATAGGGAGAGAAATAGAAAAAGAATAGGGTAGGGCACCTGGGTGGCTCAGTCGTTAAGCGTCTGCCTTCGGCTCAGGTCATGATCCCAGGGTCCTGGGATCAAGCCCTGCATTGGGCTCCCTGCTCCGCGGGAAGCCTGCTTCTCCCTCTCCCACTCCCCCTGCTTGTGTTCCCTCTCTCGCTGGGTCTCTCTCAGCCTGCTTCTCCCTCTCCCACTCCCCCTGCTTGTGTTCCCTCTCTCGCTGGGTCTCTCTCTGTCAAATAAATAAATAAAATCTTAAAAAAAAAAAAAAAAAAGAATAGGGTAGAGGGCGCCTGGGTGGCTCAGTCAGTTAAGTGTCTGCCTTGGGCTCAGGTCACGATCCCAGAGTCCTAGGATGGAGCCCCACATCGGGCTCCTGCTCAGCGGGATGCCTGCTTCTCCCTCTCCTACTCCCCCTGCTTGTGTTCCCTCTCTCACTGTCTCTCTCTCTGTCAAATAAATAAATAAAATCTTAAAAAAAGAGAGACTAGAAATGGAATTTAAAAAAGGGATAGAAAAAGGATGGCAGAGACAGGTGATCCCTCTGACTGCTGCATGACAATACACAGACCATGAGGGAGCAAATGTGAAAGCAGGGAGGCCAGTAGGGGGCCATGGCCATGATCCAGGAGAGTGATAGGGCTGGGACCAGGCAGCCCCTGGCCACATATACATGATTCCACTTATATAAAATATCCAGAATAGGCAAATCTATAGAGATAGAAAGTAGGTAAGGGATTGCCTGAGGATGGAAGAGGTTGATGGAAGTTGGGGTGGGGGTAGGTATTAGCTAAAGGGGTTGTTGTTGGTGTTTTTTTTGGTTTTTGGAGTGATAATAAAAATGTCCTTTTTAAAAAGATTTTATTTATTTATTTATTGAGCTCAAGTGGGGGGAGGGGCAGAGGGAGAGGAAGAGAGAGAATTTCAAGCATATGCCACCCTAAGCACAGAGCCCAATGCAGGGCTCAGTCCCACGACCCTGAGATCATGATATGAGCGAAAATCAAGAGCCAGATGCTCAACTGACTGAGCCACCCAGGTACCTCTGGAGTGATGAAGATGTTCTTAAATTGATTGTGATGATAATTGGACATCTTTGTGAATATCCTAAAAATCATCCAATTATACCTTTTAATTAGGTGAATTGTATGATATACAAATTATAGCTCAATAAAGTTTTTACAAAAAAAAAGATAACTGTTTAAAGCAAAAGCAGTAATGATGTATTGGCGGGTTTATAACACACATAAATAAAACATGTCCACAATATGTGAAGTGGCATAATATTACTTGAAGACAGACTTATGATAAAGATACATAACATAAATCCTAAAGTAATAACTAAAAAATGAAACAAGGAGGTATAGCTAATAAGTCTACAAGGGAGATATGATGGAATGATAGAAAGTACTCAGTCCAAAAGAAGGCAGAAAAAGAAAAAAAGGGAAACAAAGAACAGATGCAACAGGGGCGCCTGGGTGGCTCAGTTGGTTAAGCGACTGCCTTCGGCTCAGGTCATGATCCTGGAGTCCCTGGATCGAGTCCCGCATCGGGCTCCCT